GGGCGCGTGCCGACCGTTACCTCAGGCAGGCAGGCAGTCCGTCCTGTGGAGACTCCCGCGGCGAGAGGCGGCTTCTAGAACTCTTAGGAGCACGGCGGGCAGCCCCGGGGTTTCCTCACGCTTTAGCACATCCTGAGGGGACAAGCGCCCTGGACTAAGGAGAACTGTCGAGAGAGGCTCTTAATACGCAGCCGGCTGTGCCAAGCAGATCGCAGTGCCACCCAAGGCAAGGCAAGGGGTTCCTTCTGGCTCGATTCACGAGCTGCTTTTCTAGGGATCATACAGTGTTTCCTGCCTCAGTACATTTAGAGTGTTAAAAGCTCTTCCGCCCTCTCACACAGGTGTGGCAATAAAAACCTTCCTTACTTTTCTGGGTGGGCTGCCACTAGGACCTGACAGTCACTGTGTTTGGGAAAGCCTGAGGAAAGAGACTTAAACAAAACTTTGGGGTTTATTATGTATGTTTCAGGAGACCATAAGACTTTGCATATTACTAAGGCCGAGCATCATGCAAAACACAGCAAGAGGCAGTTTCTGCCTAAATGGACATGTTTGAGAACGAAAAAACAGTTTTACGAAGCGATGGGTGACTTTGGTAAATCACCTAAGAGGTGTGTTGCTGAACTAGTGACTGAATCTTCAGAAGCCCTGAGGCTGCTTCCCTTGGGAACAAATGCAAGTGCAATCTGATTAGCATGCAATATATTACTGAAGTTTGTAGAAGGTCATATATTTATAGGCCAGCTGATAAGGCCTCCACTGTTGGATATGGTGCGAATGACTAAAGTGGCTAAATCTTGTCAACTTTTCCAGTTAATCCTCTCATGTAATAGAGGAGGTTATTTCTCCCAACGCACGCTGAGTCATTCATGTCTTTAAACCAGTGCTTCTCACTGTGGCAAGGAGTACAGAAGGCTCAGCAAAATGTAGAAAAGGCAGTATTAGAAGGAGCTCAGCTGTTCCAGGCCAGGGAACTGGGAAATGGCTGCTAGTGTTTTCTGCAAGTTTTTACGGCGGTCAGAGAACCACTGTCTCTGATTGCTGGCAGCAGCTCAGTATCTGCGGGACAAGAGGAGAATTGAAAGAGAAGCAAAGAAAACAATAGAAATTTTTATACCTGCAGCTAGATCTTGTTCCCTTAGCTTGGGAGACCTGTACATGGGGATTGCATGGAAATGTCAAAAGGGGACAAACCCTTTGCAGTTTTATATTGTTGTAGTGGCTATTGGAAATACAGCTGCTATATGAGGGAATGAACGTGAAGCCTTGTTTGCTCGTGTGAGCTAGATGTTAAAGTGTCTTGCGTTCTGTGTTCTCTTTATATGCTGCCAGAGTTCCTCTGTCTTGTATCCAGATTCTGCCAATGATTTGCCCAAGCATCAGGCGTACAATGCACTAAGAAGGGTCAATAGAGAGGTGAAAGAGTCCCAAAATTTGCCATTTGAATTCATCATAGTAAAATTTTCAGGAATACATGCTAATAAAAATATATCCTCAGTGCTGGTTAACTCCCCCCCCCGACCTTGCAAGCATCAGTTATGATTTCCAGAATTGCAGCAAATTATCAGTGTACCTGAGAAAGACATGTTCTAGCAGTTCAGTTCTTTGCAAGAACGTTGCTCTAGTCACCCTTTTTTGCTCCAGAGAACTTTGGACAATGCAAGACT